ATGGATGGATGGATGGATGGATGGATGGATGGATGGATGGATGGATGATGGATGGATGATGGATGAATGGATGGATGGATAGCTGATTGGTTGAGTGGATGGTTAGATTGATGTATGGGTGGTTGGTTGGATGGGCAGACAGCTGCTGGTTGGTTGGCTGGGCGGATAGATGGTCAGTTGGATGGACAGATAGATGGTCGGTTGGCTGGGTGGATAGATGGTTGGTTGGATGGATGGATAGATGGTCGGTTGGATGGATGGACAGATGGTCAGTTGGATAGACGGATAGATGGTTGGTTGGATGGATGGATAGATGGTCGGTTGGATGGATGGATAGATGGTCGGTTGGATGGATGGACAGATGTTCAGTTGGATAGATGGATAGATGGTTGGTTGGATGGATGGATAGATGTTGGTTGGATAGAAGGATAGATGGTCGGTTGGATGGACGAATAGATGGTTGCATGAATGGATAGAAGGTTGCATGAATGGATGGTTGGTTGGATGGATGGGTATATGGTTGTTTGGATGGATGGATGGTTGGATGAATATTGGTACAGGTATTTTACGAAGATACCAACTGACTGACAGAACACAGAACAAACTGGGGGAGTAAACACTTCACAAATACTTCCTTATTTTCTGTCTCTGATGTGACGCCTCTCATTAGTCACTTCTGCCTGTCTTTGTCTTCATGCACAGAGAAGATGACCACGTGTGGAGTTGAGGTGTTTGTCCTCTGAAGTCTTTCATGCAAAGTGTCATTCACTACAGAAAACTTGTGGACTAAACTCCAACATAGCTCTCACTGAGTCAGGGGTCTCTGCTCAGGTCAACCTCCCCGTCACCATCAGCCTCATACATGGCTGAGGATCTGAGCACCTCTCATCAGTGGATCTGGCTCTCATGGTGACCACCTGACTGGACCTCAACCTGGACACCTTCGCCTGAACAAGCTGGTGTTCGGCAGCCACCTCAGTCTGACTTGGTGCACATCTGTACGCCGTAGAAAAATGAACAAAAGTCTTGTCCTAGAAGTGTTTTGACCTTTGGTGTTACTAAATAACCAACACATATCCACACGCTGTACACGCTGGTTATTGTGCACCTTTAAAGATTAAACCTGGTGTTTCTTATCTTTTGCTTGCACTTGCAAAATGCGTGTTTAGTTGTTGCTTTGGGCCAAAGTTCATTACACTCAAACATAGAACAAAAGAATGACTGTTATGGATGGGAGGTATTAATCGCAGCCCTCGGGGGCCACTATCTTACATGTTTTACTTGTTTAACAGCTCAAACACACCTAATTCAATGATTGAATCACCTCTGTGTTCTTCAGAAGCCTTTTACGCACCCATTCAATCAACTCAACAGTGAAACTAAAATATGCAGACTTGTGGCTCTGAAGGACCAGCAGTGGACACCCCTGGTCTAATCAGTGCACGGTGTTAACTTATCTCAGGCCAGCTATGCAAATTAAGTGACTGCGTCATTCAGAGACGTTTAGGACAAGGAAGAACTTCTTTCCTTACAGCGTGTAGTTTAAACAGCTACAGAAGCTGAACACAAATGATGATATTTTAACTTGATTACCTCCCCCTCAGTTACTACCGTTTTACTTTTCAGAAATAATTTTTGGCAGCGAGGTAAGTTAATTCATTCAACTTTTATTTGTACAGGTCTCACTGAGTCACAAGGACTCATTTTCAAGAGAGGTCTGTTTTAGACAGACATTTAAAGTACAGACAACGATATTCATCAATTAAAATGGCAAAGACGTTGCAGATTTGCTTGAAATAACTCCAGAAATTACAAAAAATAAATCATTAAAACATGGCATAATAGACTCGTAAATTAACATTTGTTTTTTACTTGTCTTGACTCAATCACAATTTCAGTGTATAAATATACTTTATTTAAAAAAGCTATTAGAAGTAGTCAAAACCGGACACTTTAAAATTCTAATAAAAAAACCATTTAAAGTTTTGTTTTATTTACCCAAAACTGCCTTGTTAAAGTAAAACATTAAATTAACAGCCAGATTTATTAAGGCGGTCGAGAACAGGCAGTTTGCTTTTCGTCCTTTCTGTCCTTGTGGAGTTGCCGTAGCTGTTTTTTGTAAACCGTTAACTGAATGTGTTTCACAATTTCATCTGTTTTAGTTCCCTTCTTAAACCCAAGAAAACGTATGCCTGTGAGTACTGCCTTAACATAGTCACCACATAATGTTTATTGTCGTTTGTTAGGCGTGTGCAAGTTTAAACAGCGCAGAGATTTTTAAAGACGCAAATCACTTTAGCTTTATATGGACGTCAGTGTTAGCATTCATGCTAAGCGCTAGCCGCTTTTTAGTGAAGGCCAAATTAAGCTTTTTTTTTTAAACCTTTGAAACTTGCTTCGGAAAATAAAAACTTCATTACAGTGCTGTACTAGAAACTTTATTTAAACACCGTCCTCTGTGGTGCCATCTAGTGGTCAAAAGTATGAGCAGCTTGACTCAGCGACCTGAAAGAAACTACGGAGATGATGTCCGAGACATTTCTCTCGTCGTGGCGCTTTGATGGATCTGATGCATGAATAATACTGATCAATGAACTTGTTACAGTCAGAGAGATTTATTTGTCATTCCCATATGTGGTACATGTGGTGGAACGAGATTATGCGTGTTCACGTTAAATTTAAAAAAAAAAGGGTCCCAGTTACATCCAACAATAAAATGTAAAAGAAAAACAGTAATAAGTTCTAAGATATGAACTAAGAAAAACATCAACTAAATATACACTAAGCACTAATAACATAAAAACATTATGTCGAACAGCAGCACGAACATGAGTCTGTGTGAGCAGATGAGCACGAATGAACACAGCAACATGAAACAGATCAGCAGCAACATGAAGCAGATCAGCAGCA